CTGTTGGACTATGGTATGGGGCAGAATGACAGTACCACTACAAGAATTGAGGGAATGGTGTTTTTTGATAGTGACAGGAATAATATCGATATGCGAAAGAAGAGAAAGATCATGAGCTTGGGTAGCATTCTGAACAGTGATGATGTGCGTACTGCTCTTAAGAGCATAAAATGGAAATATCTACCAATATGTCGTACGAGCGCCTTGCCAATACAGTGGACCCTCAACCAGCGATGGCATCGATTAACGATAAATCTGACTAGCGATACATTTTAACACAAAAATTTTGCCTCGGCTAGCGCTTAAAAACCTCACCAGCGCTATTCGTTCCGTACGAGGCGTGTCCACTTTGGCCTGAGCGCGCCTCACTTGTCCCGTGGGTGCCAGTGTTTACAAGCCAGCAGCCAGCCACCGCGGTCGCTTCCCAACATACAACTGGAACATTTCATATTATCACAGCCTTTGTAGTGATTGCACCTGCAAAATAAAGTCACCATGGGCCCCAAGAAAGCTTCTAGTGCCAGCCCTACAGCAAAAAGGGTGAGAATTACTGTGGAGATGAAGAAAGAGATCATTGCTAAGTATGAAAGTGGAGTGCGTGTCCCTGAGCTGGTCAGGTTGTATAATAAACCCCAGTCAACCATCGCTACTATTGTGGGCAAGAAAACGGCAATCAAGGAAGCTGTTCTTGCCAAAGGTGCAACTATGTTTTCGAAACTGAGATCGCAAGCGGTAGATGTTGAGAGACTCTTATTGGTGTGGATAAACGAGAAACAGATAGCAGGAGATAGCATCTCTCAAGCGATCATATGTGAAAAGGCTAGGAAGTTGCATGACGATTTAATTAAAAAAATGCCAGCAACTAGTGATGTGAGTGAATTTAAGGCCAGCAAAGGTTGGTTTGAGAGATTTAAGAAGCGTAGTGGCATTCATAGTGTGATAAGGCATGGTGAGGCTGCCAGTTCGGACCACAAAACAGCTGAAAAATATGTGCAGGAATTCAAGGAGTACATAGACAGTGAAGGACTGAAACCTGAACAAGTGTTTAATTGTGATGAAACAGGCCTGTTTTGGAAGAAAATGCCAAGCAGGATGTACATTACTCAGGAGGAAAAGACACTCCCAGGACATAAGCCTAAGAAAGACAGGCTTACTCTGTTGATGTGTGCCAATGCTAGTGGTGATTGCAAAGTGAAGCCTTTATTGGTGTATCACTGAAACTCCCAGTGTTCAGGAAAAACAATGTCGTCAAGGCTAATTTGTGTGTGCTGTGGAGGGCAGACAGTAAGGCATGGGTCACTAGGGACTTTTTCTATGACTGGTTACACCATGCATTTGCCCCCAATGTGAAAAATTACCTAATTGAAAAGAAATTAAACCTTAAGTGCCTCCTGGTATTAGACAATGCTCCTGGTCATCCTTCATACGTGGCAGAGTGACTTTCTTGGGACATGAGCTTCATTAAGGTGAAGTTTTTGCCTCCTAATACCACTCCTCTCCTGCAGCCCATGGACCAGCAGGTCATTTCCAACTTCAAGAAACTGTACACAAAATCTATGTTTGAAAGGTGCTTTGTAGTGACCTCAGAAACTCAACTGACTCTAGGAGAGTTTTGGAAAGATCATTTTACCATCCTCAATTGTGTAAACATTATAGGTAAGGCTTGGGAGGAAGTGACTAAGAGGACCTTGAACTCTGCTTGGAAAAAACTGTGGCCAGAATGTGTAGACAAAAGGGATTTTGAAAGGCTTGAGGCTAACCCTGAGAATCCTATGCCAGTTGAGGAATCCATTGTGGCATTGGGGAAGTCCTTGGGGGTGGAGGTTAGTGGGGAGGATGTGGAAGAGTTGGAGGAGGACAATGAAGAACTAACCACTGATGAGCTGCTAGATCATCTTGAACAGCAAGAGGGCAGACCTGAGGAAACTGCTTCGGAGGAGGGGATAGAGAAATTGAAGAAGTTGCTTACTTCTAAGATTAAGGAAATGTGTGCAAAGTGGCTTGAAGTGCAAACCTTTTTTGATGAAAATCACCCTGACACAGCTACTGCAAGCCATGTTGGCAACCTGTACACTACGATGTTGTGAACCACTTTAGGCAAGTCATAAAAGAACGAGAGGTACAGGTATCTATGGACAGATATGTTGTGCAACAGAGGTCCAGTGGCTCTGAAGCTGGTCCTAGTGGCATTAAAAGAACAAGGTAAGTAACCCCAGAAAAAGACTTGCTACCTCAAGTGCTAATGGAAGGGGATTCCCCTTCTAAACACTAAGAAGATCAACGGTCTCCCCTCCTCCCATCCCATCAATCATCACCAGATCTTCAATAAAGCTAAGTGTCATGTAACTGTGCATGTCTTCTTCAGTTTGTATTAAAATTAATATTTCATGTGCGTAAAATTTTTTTTTCAATACTTTGGGGTGTCTTGCACGGATTAATTTGATTCCCATTATTTCTTATGGGGAAAATTAACTTGACTAACGATTATTTCGATTAACGATGAGCTCTCAGGAACGGATTAATATCGCTGGTTGAGGGTTCACTGTACTATGGTCAGAAAGACAGGCACTAGAGGAAGTTGGTCGTAAAGTAAAGAGTTTAGTCCATTGTGCATTCCGAAACTGAGCATGGAAAGGGGGTGCATGACAGGTTGATCGTTTCTGAGAAGAACGAGGTGGTGGTGAAGTATCATCATTAGGCAATTGTCGTTGGCGTTTAGGAGTGGGACCGGAGTTGGTCCGACGTGAAACGGGCTGGCGATTCGAAAATTGCTGCATGGTAGAGGGAGAGGCCAGAAGCGTAGTCAAAGGAGAGCGGAGGTCAGACAAATCAAAGGAGTCAGTCAAAGCCTCGGTATCTGAAGCGGGTGAGGAAACAGCACCAGCAAGAGGTTCAGGGGTTTCCGAAGAGTGGTCAAAAAACGAGGCAGGGTCAGAATGGGGTGCAGTATCAAGAAGGGGCCCAGGGGTAGGAGGTTCATGGATTGGGATCTCCATGGCTAGGTTACTTCTTGTCTTTTTAAGAAAAAAAAAGAAAGAAGAAAAGAAAATAAAAATAAAAAAAAAGACGGGGAGCGAGGAGGAATAGTTCCTAGGAGGAATGAAAGTGCCAGAAATCTCCCTCCGTGCCCAAGAGGACCTCAGAACCGCAAGTAGCGCAGATGCAGCATGGAACCCGTGCCATACCCTACCCTTCATGCCAGTAAACCAGCAATCCGGGATAGCAACCTCACATCTGCCGAGCTACCTTGGTGGACAAAAGAGAGGATGGCTGGTGTTGCGACCCCTGAATGGGTCACAATGTATATAATGTATATTACCTTTTCATATAATTTTATATTGCTTATATTTGCAATAATAGCTAAATCGTAAATATATTGCTTTATATTATTATTTGACTTAGTTACTTTTATTAGGTAGGATGTAACATATGTATATTATTCAGTGCTCATAGTTCAAGTCTTGATTGTCTAACTACTGTAATTATCGCTCGTTGCTAGTTTCCCTGCCAGCTTCTCGGTGTTGCTGGGCAGCAGCTGTCCATGGAGCAATCACGTGATAGAGGGGGGGGTGTTCACACCTCGCCTGGAGTAGTCAATCTGGGCTAGACTTTTGGTGGTTGGACGTATTCCTGACAAGACGTGCCTATCTCTCCCTTATTGGAAGATCGTCTCTGTCGCTTTCTTGTTGGTTCTGTAGAACTCTGTTCACAGAACATTGTCTAGACTTAGTGATTTTCAACGTTGTACTGAGGTTGTGTGTCGCATAAACACTGAGCAACTCAGGTCCTGAGCTGTAGCTTCTGACCTAATTTGTACTGTTATCTGTGCACTGTCACAGTCAGGGATTTTCTTATGCTGAACTTAGATTCAGTAGTATGGGAGTTTTGTGGAGGATCTGCTGATGGTCCCTAGTGTCATTATATTATCTCCTTGATCCTGATTCTGTGTTGCAGTTGCTTGTTATATTGCTATTGGGCTTATCAGTCGTTTTATTGTTCAAGCAAGCTGTTCTGATTGCCAGGTGGTCAAGAAGTTAGATAATGTGAGGACTTAGTCACTAGTTGTCTAGTCGAGTTTTGAGACACAGCGAACTGTTTAGAGCATTTACACACAAACTTACTTGTACATATTTGTAATATCTTATTAAATGTTAATGTACCAGATGGTACTTAAGACAAAGATGTGATATGTACCTTCAGCACAATACTACCATACACGAGAGAAGTGATTATTATTAATTTGTTTAAATTGATTAAATTAAATTAATTTGATAATATACTGCTAGACAATTTTGTTATTAATGAACTTATTAAATTTTAATTTCTTTAGTTAGTAGCCTACCAGTTGTAATCCTGAAGCACTAATAATTCTTATTGAATTCTAATGGATAATTGGACCAGGATACTGACTACTTGTTACGAAAACCCAGTAACAGGCTGGATGCTAAAAGGGCCGTCCTTTATAGTATTCACTGGAGATCTCTATGCTTATTAGAAATCGCGTTATTTGTAACAGCTGGATATCTGCCACAAAGCATACCTCCGACCACCACCCCCGGAATCCGAAAGGTGGCTTCCAGAGATATACCAGTCACCCGAAAGACACCCCCCGGGATACCGGAGGGGGATCGGGACATCTCTAGGCAATCCAGATTCTACGGCAAACTACGCCACCTCTGAGAACCTCAACGAAATGGGATGGACCCTGGTACCCTTCCCCCTACCTAGGAACCAGTATGCCTGTGGGAAGAATCCTACAGGCCAAAAAGAGTAAGGGAATAAGGGAGGGACAGGGAGGAAAGGAAAAGGGAGGGTGGGGGGGATTGGGGGGTAATTAGGTTCGGTCTGAGGAAGGAGACCATCAGGTCTAATTCCTCAAACCAAGAGCCTCTTCACCATGCCAAGGAGCCACCCTTGAAGAGGAATATTTTATACAAAAGCACCTTCTTAGGCAAAGAACTATATTCCCTATCAAACCACCTTCAAAGGTAATGAAAAACTTTTAATCAACAAAATAAATGTATTGGTCAATCATTCTTTTCATACAAACTTGAAATGACATAAATGATCATTACATATATCACAAGTACAATCTTTTCTTAGGGGAATACATAAGGAGTCTCCACATTACTTATTTACAGTACAATCTTTTTTTGGGGGGCATACATAATGACTTATCACATTAGCTATTTACACTATGTACAAGACAATGAATCAGGAACATCTTCACAAAACTTCCATATAGGCCTACCTCCATCTCCAAGATAATGTATAAACTCTAAAACAATAAATATGAAATAAGAATGGACGGTTCCACACAAAATGTGACTAATGTGACAAATCTACAAAACTGTACAGAAAGAGGAGCATTGGATTACATCATGACTGAACTAATCTTACATTATGAATTTCAAATATAATGAGTAGTTAACCATGTTCAACAAGATTAGATTCTGACTACTGTACTACTAATATAAAGATTTGATATACAAGACTCAAGAATCAGGGGTAAAAAATTTTCATGCACAGCTGTTTAATTAAATGGTTTGTGCCAGTGGTAGTTATCACAGATCATAACACATCCAAGTTGACGACTTGAAGGACCAACAAAACTTAGAGATTAATTATTTACGATTTAAAAATAAAATGCCATCAGTTAAAATATGAATTATTCAATAACAATTATGCCTTCAATTTGCCAAGAAAATGAGTAACATCTGAATACAATACAGTCTATATGAATTTGTATATATTTTACAGTCAACTGGTGAATGAGGGTTCCTTCTATATCATATCTGAAGATTAGAGGGGAAAAATTTAATGTCAGTTATACTGAACTGTACATAAAACATTAAACATGCCCTCAAAGATACTGGAATTAATGCTATTTATCACAGCAAAGCAATATAATTTTAATTATCAGAAGTATCAAATTATGAGTGCATTTTAACTGCATTAATAACTTTTTTGTGAAATTAATTATGCCAGTAAGCAGATATTTGAAATGTGTAATGTTACAGTGTTGTTAAATGGGCAAGTGCCTTACAACAATAATAATAAATGTGGTCCAAAGAGTCTCCAACAGAATGGAGCCTTATTAACATCATTTTCTTTACCAGCCAAATAAATGTACTGTACAACTTTCACTATTACTTACAAGATATACATTTACAAGTGATATTTAAAGATTGTCTAAACACTTACCAGATTATATTGACAGCATACAAGTATCTGAATCACTGAGTACATGACAACAAAATTAATCTAATTTTCTTTCTTTTCTTTACAGAGCTAACAAAAGTCTGCTCCATATACTGAAACCAGACCTGCAACTTAAGTACACTTTGAAAATATTTTGCAATTTGCTAGCTTCATTATTTTCTAAATAATTACAAAAAAATTTATATATATACACACACACACATATACACGTGTACACAAACATGTATACAAAAATACATATACACATACAAGTGTATAATACGTATAAATACGTGTACACATTTTATATACACATGTATACATTTATACATACATGTACATATATATACATACACATGTATACATATACATACATGCACACACATACACATGTACACATACAATGAGCTATGTTGAGTGATAAACATTAACTTGAAGTTATGTACCACAATATACAGAGTTCCATGCCCAAGTAAAAAATAACCAGCGACACAGGTATCTTTTCTGAAATACTGTATATAATTTTCTGAACTGCACATTCAAAATATTATCATCCTCAAACCTCAACACACCTGACATGAAAAAAAAAAAATTACAGAAGCATTTTACACAGAATTATACTGAAAATGGTGTCACCATTACACCTTATGACCCATGTGTATTAAAAACAAAACTGTTTGACCTTCCTCTGCTGTGATTTTAAAATTTAATATATAAAAATAAAACACTGAATAAGTCCTTACAACATGAAGGAATAGTAAAAATTTAGAACCATAATGATTTTACAAAACATTTTTCACCAATAATCATATCTTTGAAAACTTGCCTGCTTCACAAACTATTTTAGTAAATTTAACAGCAACAAATGATAATTTACCAAAAACATAACAATGACTACTAATTAGTAAAAGACTGATAGCAAGACATAAGTAGATTAGACATTTACACTTCATGGTTGGGTTTAGGCATTATTCAAAATATTAATGTAAAACAGAATTATAAAATATAAATTCTTTGGTTCAGTATTTCTTTTGTTTAACCTCTAGCAGCTGTGGATAATTTTCCACAATGTTGAGAAGAATGCCATCTATATAAGCCCTTAGATGATGGTTTGCTTCTTGAGCATCCTTTAAAGATTTCTTGAGCTGCAAAGAGAACAATATTGTGAATTACTAAACCTGAAAGATGGACTGTGGTTACAAACACTGAAACCTAACCAATCTTCATTTAAATTTTTTTTTAACTGAATCTAAAACCTCAGCTGGTGATTTTTTTATATAAAATTTAATCTGATATTAAGTGTGTAATTTCTATGCTTTATTAACCTTTACGAATTACTTTTGTGAAATTTTTTGTTGCTTTGTATAAAAGCTGTTGAATTATATGTTAGTAACCCATAAACGGTCCAAACGTATATAAACGTTTTATTTTTCCTGCCTTCCAATATGGCACGATTGGCCTGAGATGCCTTGTCAGCACAGAATGTGTCATAACACTCAGTGTGCACTGTATTAAAAAATCTGGGACCACTTAGTACCTTGTGGGAGCACCAGTTCAAATGAGCGCCAGCTAGAGCAAACAGTGCGGCAAACACCTGGGATTCACTGATTTTATGTAGTATTAACCCTCCCATTTTAAGAGGAAAGTGATTCTGACCCCGAGTTTAGTGGCTTTGAAGTGGATGTGGCCATAAGTGGTTGAGGAAATACCAAAAAACCTCGATAATAACCCATGTGCAACATTTGTGCAACACCATTTCAGAATGTCTTATAACCTATGCCCTAAGTAAAGAGAAACAATTCTGGAACGTACTACTTGTTCACCAGGCTGGCTGGCTGGCTAGCTGGCTGCTGGTGGCCTGGCTCCATTTGTTTGTCTATGTCTATCTCTGTCTCATAGGTACACACAAATACAAGTATACATAGTGTAAATTACCTAGGATAACCCCAAAAAATCCAGACAAAGTGCTATACTCTGCTTGAAGATACGAGTAAAGATGACGCAATCTTGTGACTCTCTCTGAGACAGAGCTAGACGGATAGACAGGGAGCTTGACAGACAGACATATTTGTGTACCAGTGAAAACAAAGTGAGGGCTGATGCTCATCAAATGTCACATCTAATCTAATTAAGTCTTACCACTGCACCCTCGTGTATGCTCATCAAATATGAGCTGTTATCTAATGTTATCTCATCTTATCATGTCACTGTCAGGGGTGGACTGAGGTTTGTTTTTCATGCTTTGAGGGAACTTATTATTACATATTACTATTTTTATTATTATTATATACTTCCACATATCCAAAACACTGCTGGGACCTATTAATACTTTGTATATATTCCAAGACAATAGTAAATGACCAAGGCAGGTGTAAATGTCCACCTGTCAGTGTGTTTGTGACAATTTGAGTACAATTTCAGTACCTAATACTAGTGTCAGAACAAAGATTGGTTATGAAATGACAAGAACTACTATAAATTATAATTATCAGAACATAAAAATTATATAAAATATGAAAAATAGAAAAAAAAGGTATATCGCAACACTTCTGAAAGAGGCAGGACTCGATGCTGCCGCCACATGAGCATCCAGTGCCAACTTCTTGGCCTCATATCTCTAAGTACTGACACTTTTTTTTTTTTTTTTGATCCTAGAACACTTAAAAAAATGTGCTCTTTATTTTCATTAAAAAAAAAAATTTTTTTTATTTTTCAAAACATTCGGGACACTGGGGTAGTGAACGTATATACGTATTTGGACCGTTTATGGGTTGATATTGGGAAACTATCTTTTGCAACATGTGTCACTATTTTGGATATTATGGTGGAATATCTAAAACAAAATACATCTGGTGGTATTTATGTATGTACAGTACACAGCATATTTTTTCCAAGGAAACTAATTTTTAAAGTGTTTCAACCTATACATGTTAACTCATCATAAGGTACACTACAACACTTAGGACAGTCATGATTGTGTGTACAATTCTTTCGACTATGACCTAATACTGTATTACACAGTGAACCCTCATTTATTCAATTCTCTTAATATTGTTCTTTCAATCTTCTGATAATACATAAGTGTATGTATTTAAATTTCAAATTCAGTGTATCAAAGAAAACTGAAATAAAAATATTAAACATTGTCAGATGCAACTGGACCTCATTAAAATATTGACAACAACATCCAAGTCTATGAGGTTTGAAAGCATTTTAAAGCAACTCCAAATTCAATAATTTTATAAACCTAACACTGAACATCTATAAACAAAACTTCAAGTAATAAATTCATCGATGCTACATTGTATGTAATATTATTTTAATAAATTTAAGATTAATAGATTAGAAAACTTTTTTTTTTTTTTTACACACTTGCCATCTCCCACCGAGGCAGGGTGACCCAGAAAAGAAGACGTGCTTTCACCATCACTCGCACTATCACTGTCTAGCCAGAGGCATGTCACTACTACAGTTCAGGTGCCCCTCCAAACTGCAAATATCCCCACCCCTCCTCCAGAGTGAAGGCACTGTACTTTCCACCTCCAGGATTCAAGTCTGGTTAACCAATTTTCCTGAATCTCTTCATAATTGTAACCTTGCTCACACTCCAAACAGCTCAAGTCATAAAAACCACTTGCCCCCACATGCTCCTATCTAACATGCACACACCCAACTGCTGAGTGTCCAAGCCTCCTCACAGACAAGACCTCCTTTTCTCCCCCCTCTCTAAAATTCCTAAGGGCAGCCCCTACCCAGCCTGCACTACAGATTTGTACACCCTCCAAGTCATCCAATTTGCCTCCATGCTCTCAATGTTCAAACCACCTTAACCCGTAAACGGTCCAAGCAGATCTACGTTCACATGTGTAGTGCTACAAAAGTAGATCTACGTTTTTTTTACATACTATTTTCAAATACAGTGGAAACTCAAATATTGAACTGTTCCCAACTCAACCAATTATGTAAGTGTATTTTTTAAGTGCTTTTATAAGTGTATTTTTGAAGATCTGAAATGAACTAGTTTAATTTACATTATTCCTGATGGGAATAAATTTGTTTGGTAACGGCACTCGAACAGCCATCTGGAACAAAGAAAGTTCGATATTTGAGGTTCCACTGTATAACAAAAAAAAAAAAAGTAGATCAAAGTTTTCTTACACACTTTCAAATGTAAAAAAACAAAAAGATGATCTACTTTTTATACATACTTTCAAATGTTGAAAAAAACTTATATATACGTTTGGACCGTTTACAGGTTAACAGCCCCTCCTCAGCTCTCTGGATAATACTTTTAGTAATCCTGTACCTCATCCTAATCTCCAAACCATGAATTCAATGCATAATATTTATACCACACAATGCCCTCAGCCATGACAGCTCTACTGCTTCCAGTCTTCTTGTTGCAACATTCATAACCCATTCTTCACACCCATACAAGAGTGTGTTGGTACCACTATACTCTCATACATCCCCCCCCCCCCTTTTTTTTTTTTTTTTTTTTTTTTTTGTTTCCATGGATAACATTCTTGGTCTCCACAGATGTCTCAATGTGCCACCCACCTTCACCCCCCCCCTCACCAATTCTATGGTTTCTCTCATCTTGCATAGACCCATTCACTGACAAGTCCACTCCTAAATATCTGAACACATTCACTTCCTCCATATTCCATCCTCCTAATCTGATATCCAATCTTTACCTAAATTTTTTGTTACTTTGCTCTTTCCTATATTCACTTTCAATTTCCTTCATTTACATATCCACCCAAATTTGTCCACCATCCTTTGTAACTTATCTTCAGAATCTCCCAAAAGCACAGTGTCATCAGCAGAAAGCAACTGTGAACACACTTACCCTGTATTAGGTTCTATATGTTTTAATCCCACACCTCTTCCCAACACACTAGCATCACTTTTACAACCCCATTTATATATACAGTGAACCTCTGCATTCAAACGTACTGGACCTCAAACGAGCCGGATTCCGAACAATTTTGCTTAGAAAAAAAACTGACCCAGTCTTTTAACATTTTTCGGGAGTCCAAACCTTCCAGCTTGTTTAAAAGTTGGTTGTAAAAATCTTTACATGACTGCCCTGTTTCAAAAGTGCTTCCAAGTGACATCTGACACTGACCTAACATTCAGACTTTTGGAAGGGTCAGTTCAACATCCTCCAGTGTGCAAGGCTGAAAATTAAAGCCTGGGAAATACTATTTTGGACATTGAACCTTTCACAGTTCAAACACCATCTAGGAACCAATTATGTTCAAAAACTGAGGTTCCACTGTATGTTCAGCAACCACAGTGACATCATGCATAACCAACCATACCCCCGGCCGGGATTGAACCCGCGGTCATAGAGTCTCAAAACTCCAGCCCGTCGCGTTAGCCACTAGACCAGCTAGCCACAATAAGATTCATCCAACTAGGTATATTTCTACACCATAGGAAGGTTAGCACAGGCACCACTGTGACCACAAATGCAAGTTTTTACAGACGAATCTCCAGCTAGCGTGGCCGTGACGAACTCTAGCTCAAGTCCCTTCACTGCCGTCAACATGACTCAAGAAATCGTAATGACACGATTGCAAACAAACCATACCCCCAGCCGGGATTGAACCCGCAGTCATAGAGTCTCAAAACTCCAGCCCATCGCGTTAGCCACTTGCATTTGTGGTCACAGTGGTGCCTGTGCTAACCTTCCTATGGTGTAGAAATATACCTAGTTGGATGATTCTTATTGTGGCTAGCTGGTCTAGTGGCAAACGCGACGGGCTGGAGTTTTGAGACTATGACCGCGGGTTCAATCCCGGCCGGGGGTATGGTTTGTTTGCAATCGTGTCATTACGATTTCTTGAGACATCATGCATCCCTGTCTAAGGCCTACTTATACTGGAAAATAATCTCCCTCTCTCCTACATACCCTAACCTTAGTCTCGCTATCCTCATAAGAACTCTTAACTGGTTTCGGTAACCTACCACCTATTCTATACATTAGCAACATCTGCCACATTGCTCTCCTATCATACGCCTTTTCTAAATCCATAAATGCAGCAAAAACTTCCTTACCTTTATCTAAATATTGTTAACTTATACGCTTCAATCTAAACACTTTGCCTACACATCCCCTACCCTTCCTAGAGCCTCCTTGTTCATCTGCAATCCTGCACTCCAGCTTACTCTTAATTCTTTCAATAATAACCATCATACACTTTACCTGGTATACATGACAAGCTTATTCCCCCTCAAGTTATTACACTCTTTTGTCCCCCTTCCCTTAATACAAAAGAACTATACACACACACACTGCCAATACCTAGGTACCTTCCCCTCTTTCATACATTAAACAAAAGCACCAACCCCTCCAAAACAATATTCCCATGTGCTTTTAGCATTTCTTGATCCCATCAATCCCAGCTGCTTTACCCACCCCTCTTTCATTTGTATTACTGACAGTGTATATATTGTACTGCTATTCTTTAGCTCACATCCATATTATAGTTCAAAAGCACATTTAACTCTTGACTGTTTCGGTCGTATATATACGTCTTACGAGCCACCGTGTTTGACGTACATATACTCATAAATTCTAGCGGCTTCAAATCAAGCAGGAGAAAGCTGGTAGGCCCACATGTGAGAGAATGGGTCTGTGTGGTCAGTGTGCACCGTATTAAAAAAAATCCTGGAGCATGCAGTGCATAATGAGAAAAAAAAAACTCCGACCGTTTCTTTTAATTAGAATGCCGACTTTGTGGTCTATTTTCGTATAGTATTTATGGTTGTATTCTCGTTTTCTTGATCTCATTTGATAGAATGAAAAACATATTATAGAAATAGAGGTGATTTTGATTGGTTTTACTATGAAAAGAACCTGGAAATGGAGCTCAAAGTAGGGGATATGTTTGATTTTTTCCGATGTTCAAAAGTAAACAATTGATGTCATTGTCCAATAAATGTCCAACTAGCCATTCTAATATGCAGTCATGAATGGGTTGACATTATTTGTACAATTATTACAGTATTGCAGTAGTCTGCATAACAGTAAATCTTCTATTTTTTGTTTGAATAAAAATTCAAAATAGAAAGCAAGAGTAATATCAGAGGGGCCTGGAGATGTGACTGCTGAACAAAGAAAATGTTATTTTAGAGCCAGGAATGTCTGCATTGTTCATTCTGGACCTTATTTTGAAATTGTCACATTTTTAAATTTTTGTGAAATTGGCCAAATTGCAAATTTCTGACCACATTATTGGGTAGCTGAAATCGGTAAATGGGCAGTTTCTTGTACTCAATTGATAGAAAAAACGTAGTTCTAAAGAAATAGCTATGAGTTTGGGAGACTGGAACAATGGAATTAGCCAAAAATAGGGCTCAAAGTGGGCGAAATCGCCGATTTGTAAATATTGCCGAGGTCGCTAACTTAGCGAGTGCGTAATTCCGTCAGTTTTCCATCAAATTTCGTTCTTTTGGTGTTATTACAATCAGGAAAAAATTCTATCATTTTATAAGAATTTTTTTTTTTTTTTTTTTTTTTTTTTTGAAATTTTGCGACACCAGGAGACACCTCAGGATTGGGGGTTGCGACAGTCAAGGGGTTAAGAAGATAACATACTGCAATTCAATTTTTAAAAGGCCAAAATAGTAATGTTATATTTATAAAAGTAACACTTTAGTATGTATTATCATAAATATGTTTTAGAATATTACTTGTTCTTTGTGTCTGAAGGTATCAGAACCAGCTATTGGATGCTGTATCAGTTCAGTCATTCTTCATATTAATAAGTGAACATTATTTGAATAGAAGAGGGTCAGCTTAGAATTTTTTCTGCTTATTCTAGTGTTCATCAAACTGAAAACTGCCATAATCTACATTTTGAAATTTCATGCAAATAATAAATAAATGACATGCATAGAGTAATTAATATGTTATAATAGTTTAAGACAAAGAATGAGTTAATTGGCACCAATAAAAACCATATGAAAATTATACTTAAACAATATTAATAATATTGGTTAATCAACTAAAGTGGAATGTAGTATATGAATACAGTGTTCCTTAAATTATTTGGTTATCATCTTGAAACAAGGATTATTATAGCAAGACATTTGGAGATAATAAATTCAATACATAACTTTAATCTTCTTGTAAATCAACAGGAGACTATTTTAATATGTTAAGGTTGATCCCCACACTGAATTAAAAAATCAAAATGCTTTCAACAGGCCAAGAGATGCCTAAATTGAATTTTATGAAAGATGTTACAAAAATATAAATATATAGCAACATAATGGAGGCAAAGTAAAATGCTAAAAGTGCCAAAACAACAGGGAAGAAAAAGTAATACCCAGTATATACTGAGTATTACTTTGGTTGCCTTAAATACTGCCAACCATTTACAAACATGCATAAGGCAGGTATTCAAATTAAAAACACACAGTGGAACCTCAATACTCCAGCTTATTTCGTTCCAGAAGGCTGTTTGAGTGCCGATCTGTTCAAGTACCAAATGAATTTTTCCCACCCAATTTTCTTTTTGGTTGGCTGTTATCAATAATCTTCTTAGGCCCCATGGTGACTTATACAAATAATATAAAAAAAAAAAAAAATGCAAAGAAACACAAAATAGTTTATAGTGAAGTTCTGGCAGGTCGTGTTTGTTTGGTCAAGTGCCAAGCAAACGGTCGGCTACCGAGTGATTTTTTTTACCAGTGTTCGAATACCAAATTGTTTGAGTAGGGAGCTATTAGAGTACCAAGGTTCCACTGTGTACATATTTATATATATTATGAAATTCAGAGGAATGCTTAAATTTTTAAAGTGACTGGTAGTTCTTGTAACAAAATATGAGGATTCTAATATCTGAACATTTACCCATTTACAAAGCCATTTTTTTGTTTTGTAATGAGCAATCTTTTTCTTCCATTTTGTTAAGGTAATCTCAATTACAAACTGCTGTAAGTTCAGAGAATAAAATTAATCACAGATTTTTAAATGCAAGAAGTAAAGGTAGGATGGATATGGTCAGACTGTCAGGCAGTATCGAGTGGGAGGGTACTTTTTCATATAGTAAAACAAATAACTATGTACTTCAGTGTATTAAAGGATTCATTTTCTCCCACTAACAATACAAAGTTTCTAAAAGCTTTCTTTTTCTGAGAGGCAGAAGCAAAGGATTATTTTTAGAGGCAGAAGCAGAGGATTATCTTCATAAATACGTTTCCTAAATTATTACGAGGAAATTAGTTCCACACAAAGCAAGCAAGCAATTTAAAAGTAGCCTTGACTGGATATCTAGAAAATAATAGTTTGTAAAGGATGCAATCTTTTAGGGTCAACAAAGGAATAAAATGCAAATGTATATAATTTGGAAAGAATGCATCTTTTTTCAGACTGCAGTACTTGATATCCTGCCAGCTGAGCATGCTAGTATCCACCACACTTACAATACCTTTTCGACTGTGTCACTGCCATAGAGTGCACCCTAAGAGAAAAATAGAAATGTGCTTCAAATCAGTGTGCTAAAATTGTAACTATTTAATGAGGCATTAATTTACATTGATTATTCAGGAACTCTGTCACAATGGGTCAGAGTGATGGAAGATATAACACACACAAACTTCACAATAAACAATGGTACAAACCACTAAAATGTTTAAAAACACAGAATTATATCAGTATCAATGACTGGTGAAATCATAATGGGATTGTGAACAACTCTTGAAACAGGCAGGATCTGAACCCATGGCAAATTAATCCTAAAACTAACAAGACAATGCTTGTTAGTTTGGGGATACTGGCCTTAAAAGCTTTGTCCAGCACGGTACTGTCATCAGAGCAGGGACTGGCAACGTTGTCCTGCCTAGGGCCAGGGCCCTTGTCTGAGTGGATGGTGGGCCACACCTATCACCACAGTTAATAAACAGAGGTAATAATGATGCATACTAAAGTGACATATATTTAACATCATTTGACCTACGGCTCGCAGGCCATAAGTTGCTGAATGCTGCATTAGAGCACTGACCTGCTATTTTTAGCTTTGGTTTGTCATGAGCTTGAATCTTGCTTCTTCCATGAACTGCATATGTATTTCAATGATATTCCAATACTAACAGGATGGAAGAGGTGTTTAAATTATTTAAATATGTATTCAGTTTCATTTCTCTTGGCACACATTAATTTATATAGCCCATTTATTAGCCCTAGTTACCAGAATATAGCACATGCAGTCTCTCATACAAGTTTAAGAAGCAAATAGACTTTAGAGATATTTTAAACTATGTTAAATTGAAGGATGTTGAAGGATCAGTTATGGAAGGAGAAGTAATATAAATGTGTAAATTCAAGGATTATGTGGATTAAAATAAAGGCTGGATGCGAAAAGTGGGTCATAATAAGCGTGTATGCACCTGGAGAAGAGAGGAGTGTAGAGGAGAGAGAGAGAGAGATTTTGGGAGATGTTAAGTGAATGTATAGGAACCTTTGAACCAAGTGAGTAATTGTGGTAGGGGACCTAAATGCTAAATTAGGAGAAACATTTAGAGAGGGTGTGGTAGGTAAGTTTGGGGTGCCAGGTGTAAATAATAATGGGAGCCCTTTGATTGAACTTTGTATAGAAAAGGGTTTAGTTATAGGTAATACATATTTTAAGAAAAAGAGGATAAATAAGTATACAAGATATGATGTAGGGTATAATGACAGTAGTTTGTTGGACTATGTATTGGTAGATAAAAGACTGTTGAGTAGACTTCAGGATGTACATGTTTATTGAGGGGCCACAGATATATAAATCACTTTTCAGTTGTAGCTACAGTGAGTAAAAGGTAGATGGGATACAAGGAACATAAAAAAAAGCACCAAGTAAGAGTGAGGTGAAGGTTTATAAACTAAAAGAGAAGGCAGTCAGGGTAAGATATAAACAACTATTGGAGGATAGATGGGCTAGTGAGAGTATAGGCAATGGGGTAGAAGATGTATGGGGTAGGTTTAAAAGTGTAGTGTTAGTGTGTTCAACAGAAGTTTGTGGTTACAGGAAAGTGGGTGTGGGAGGGAAGAGGAGCGATTGGTGGAATGATGATGTAAAGAGAGTAGTAAGGGAGAAAAAGCTACCATATGAGAGGTTTTTACAAAGTAAAAGTGATGCATAGAGGGAAGAGTATATGGAGAGAAAGAGAGATAAGAGAGTGGTGAAGCACTGTAAAAAGAGAGCAAATGAGAGAGTGGGTGAGATGTTATCAACAAATTTTGTTGATAACAAGAAAAAGTTTTGGAGTGAGATTAATAAGTTGAGGAAGCCTAGGGAACAAATGGATTTGACAGTTAAAAATAGGAGAGGAGAGTTGTTAAATGGAGAGTTAGAGGTATCGGGAAGATGGAGGGAATATTTTGAGGAATTATTAAATATTGATAAGATAGGGAAGCTGTGATTTCGTGTATAGGGCAGGAGGAATAACATCTTGTAGGAGTGAGGAAGAGCCAGTTGTGAGTGTGGGGGAAGTTCATGAGGCAGTGGGTAGAATGAAAGGGGGTGAGACAGCTGCAATTGATGGAATAAAGATAGAAATGTTAAAAGCAGGTGGATATATAGTTTTGGAGTGGTTGGTGCTATTATTTAATAAATGTATGGAAGAGGGTAAGGTACCTATGGATTGGCAGAGAGCATGCATAGTTCCTTTGTATAAAGGCAAATGGGACAAAAGAGTGCAAAAATTATACGAGGCCTGGTCACAGACCGGGCCGCGGGGGCATTGACCCCCCCGGAACTCTCTCCAGGTAAACTCCAGGATAAGTCTGTCGAGTATACCTGGTAAAGTGTATGGTAGAGTTATTATTGAAAGAATTAAAAGTAAGACGGAGAGTAGGATAGCGGATGAACAAGGAGGCTTTAGGAAAGGTACTGGGGTGTGTAGACCAAGTGTTTACAGTGAAACATAGGTGAACAGTATTTAGATAAAGCTAGAGGTGTTTGGGGCATTTATGGATTTGGAAATGGCATATGCCAGGGTGGATAGGGGGCAATGTGGCAGATGTTGCAGGTGTATGGTATAGGAGGTACGTTACTGAAAGCAGTGGAGAGTTTTTACGAGGATAGCGAGGCTCAGGTTAGAGTATGTAGGAAAAAGGGAGATTATTTCCCAGTAAAAGTAGGCCTTAGACAAGGATGTGTGATGTCACCGTGGTTGTTCAATGTATTTATAGATGGGGTTGTAAGAGAAGTGAATGTGAGGGTCTTGGCAAGAGGTGTGGAGTTAAAAGATAAAGAATCAAACAAAGTGAGACTTGTCACAGTTGCTTTTTGCTGATGACACTGTGCTCTTGGGAGATTCTGAAGAGAAGCTGCAGAGGTTGGTGGATGAATTTGGTAGGGTATGTAAAAGAAGAAAATTAAAAGTGAATGTAGGAAAGAGTAAGGTTATGAGGATAACAAAAAGATTAGGTGACGAAAGACTGGATATCAGAATAGAGGGAGAGAGTATGGAGGAGGTGAATGTGTTCAGATATTTGGGAGTGGACTTGTCAGCAGATGGGTCTATGAAAGACGAGGTGAATCATAGAATTGATGAGGGGACAAGGGTGAGCGGTGCACTTAGGAGTCTGTGGAGACAAATAACTTTGTCCTTGGAAGCAAAGAGGGAAATGTATGAGAGCATAGTTTTACCAAGACTCTAATATGGGTGTGAAGCATGGGTAATGAATGTGGCAGCGAGGAGAAGGCTGGAGGAGTGGAGACGTCATGTCCGAGGGCAATGTGTGGTGTGGATATAATACAGAGAATTCGTAGTTTGGAAGTTAAGAGGTGCGGGATTGCCAAAACTATTGTCCAGAGGGCTGAGGAAGGGTTGTTGAGATGGTTTGGACATGTAGAGAGAATGGAACAAAACAGAATGACTTCGAAAGTGTATAAATCTGTAGTGGAGGGAATGCAGGGTAGGGGTCGGCCTAGGAAAGGTTGGAGAGAGGGGGATAAAGGAGGTTTTGTGTGCGAGGGGCTTGGACTTCCAGCAAGCATGCGTGAGGATATTTGATAGAAGTGAATGGAGAGAAATGCTTTTTAATACTTGACGTGCTGTTGGAGTATGAGCAAAGTAACATTTTTGAAGGGATTCAGGGAAACAAGCAAGCCGGACTTGAGTCCTGGAGATGGGAAGTACAGTGTTTACACTCTGAATGAGAGATGTTAATGTTGCAGTTTTATAAACTGTAGTGTAAAGCACCCCTCTGGCAAGACAGTGATGGAGTGAATGATGATGAAAGTTTTTCTTTTTCGGGCCATCCTGCCTTGGTGGGAATCGGCCAATGTGTTATTAATAAAAAAAACATTTTTATCCATAAAGCTGTGTCTTTACCCTCTTGTGTCATGTACATTATTTGTATATTCTACTTACCCAGTATATATAACATAAGCAAAAAGAAAGAAAGAAAGAGAGAGACAGCGAGTGTGAGTGAGTGAGTGAGTGAGTGAGTGAGTGAGTGAGTGAGTGAGTGTGTGTGTGGTGTGTGTGTGTGTGTACTCACCTAGTTGAGGTTGCGGGGGTCGAGTCCGAGCTCCTGGCCCCGCCTCTTCACTGATCGCTACTAGGTCACTCTCCCTGAGCCGTGAGCTTTATCATACCTCTGCTTAAAGCTATGTATGGATCCTGCCTCCACTACATCGCTTCCCAAACTATTCCACTTACTGACTACTCTGTGGCTGAAGAAATACTTCCTAACATCCCTGTGATTCATCTGTGTCTTCAGCTTCCAACTGTGTCCCCTTGTTACTGTGTCCAATCTCTGGAACATCCTGTCTTTGTCCACCTTGTCAATTCCTCTCAGTATTTTGTATGTCGTTATCATGTCCCCCCTATCTCTCCTGTCCTCAGTGTCGTCAGGTTGATTTCCCTTAACCTCTCCTCGTAGGACATACCTCTTAGCTCTGGGACTAGTCTTGTTGCAAACCTTTGCACTTTCTCTAGTTTCTTCACGTGCTTGGCTAGGTGTGGGTTCCAAACTGGTGCCGCATACTCCAATATGGGCCTAACATACACGGTGTACAGGGTCCTGAATGATTCCTTATTAAGATGTCGGAATGCTGTTCTGAGGTTTGCTAGGCGCCCATATGCTGCAGCAGTTATTTGGTTGATGTGCGCTTCAGGAGATGTGCCTGGTGTTATACTCACCCCAAGATCTTTTTCCTTGAGTGAGGTTTGTAGTCTCTGACCCCCTAGACTGTACTCCGTCTGCGGCCTTCTTTGCCCTTCCCCAATCTTCATGACTTTGCACTTGGTGGGATTGAACTCCAGGAGCCAATTGCTGGACCAGGTCTGCAGCCTGTCCAGATCCCTTTGTAGTTCTGCCTGGTCTTCGATCGAGTGTATTCTTCTCATCAACTTCACGTCATCTGCAAACAGGGACACCTCAGAGTCTATTCCTTCCGTCATGTCGTTCACAAATACCAGAAAACAGCACTGGTCCTAGGACTGACCCCTGCGGGACCCCGCTGGT